TTAAAAAAAAAAACTTGGCTTGAAAATCTAATCTGTAAAAATGGCTTCTCATAGCAGAATCTATTTTGTTTGGTTTAATTCATGATTTTACTTGTATATTTCAATGACAGTGGTTTCCAAAATAGTATTGATATTCTGATGTTTTTTAGATTTTTAAAAAATGTATGTAATTAAATTTATGTAATTATGGAAAATGCAATTATGTAATACTTGTTGATCTCAATAAATTCTTACAAAAGGAAAACAGAATCAAGATAGAACACTCCTGTCTTCTCTGAAATACTTCTTTTACTGCTCTCAGTTATCACCTTTTGTTCTCTCCAGAAGTAACTACCGTCCTCACCTCTTACACTGCAATTTAGTTTTGCTTTTATATAAATTAAAGCAAATCAGTCTGGCGTGGTGCACACACACTTGTAATCCCAGCACTCAGAAGGATGAGACAGGAAGAGCACCGCGAATCCTGGTCTATAAATCCGTACAATCCGTAGACTCAGGACGGTCTGAATTGCATAATGAAACTGTGTCTCAAAAAGAGCGAAGAAACAAAGTAAAACAAAACAAAAAAGCCATAAAAAACTACAACAGCAAAAAACAGTTTATCTGTTCTACCCTCAATGAACATTTGTTTCCGGCTTGGTATTATTATGAGTAATAGTTTTGTGAACACTGTTGCATATAGGTGCTGGTGCATATGTGCACATATTTCTGTTGGGAAGAAACTTGCAGCTATTTTTTGGGGTAACTCTGTTAGTTTACTTCCTATTAATACATTGATCCACACCTACATAAACATTTTGCGCTATTATTTTAAAAATACACTATATGGTATAACTAGATCATGGTTTAAATCTATATTTCTAAAAAAATTTACATTTCTCTGATGGCTAATTAAGCTGAGCATTTATTTATATAGTTATAGTCTATTTGTAAGGCAATTGGGGCATAACTATTTATATCACTTGCCCATTTCCCTAGTGGATTTTATTTTTCTTACTGATTTGCATGAATTCTTATATTCTAGATACAACTCTAGCATGCTTTTTTAAATTCTCTTGGTGTTTGTTTTTGTTGAATACAAGTTCCTAATTTTAATATTATCTGATTTATATTCTGTTCTTAGTGAAAACCCTTCTTGCAATCCAATATATAAATATATTCTCTTATGTAATTGTCTTGAAACCTCATTACTTGCTTTTTACATGTGGATCTATCAGCCTTGTGTAACTGAGATGTGTGTGTGGTGTGAAATAGATACCATTTCACTTTTTCTATGTAGTTACCCACTTGTTGAAAACATGGCACTTTCTTCATGGCTCTATAGTACTACTTTTGTGAAAAGTGATATACTCATATATCTAAGTCTGTTTCTGTACTCTATTCAGTTCCACTCATGTATTTGTCCATAATTAATCTTTTAAAAGTCTTGATGTTTGATCTTTTCATCTTCCTTTATTAGCGTGTAAAAAGTCTTGCTGTCTGATGGTATCATCTCATCATCTTCCTGTTTTATGAGTATCTCTCATATTCTTTAAACTTTATGCTTTCATATAAATATTAGAATCATCTTATTAAATCCCAAGTAGCAATAATCAATGGGGTATGTGTGTGTGGGTGTGGGTGTGGGTGTGGGTGTGAGTGTGTTTTACTGGGGATTAAACCCAGGGTCTTTGCACTGGGCCACATCTTCAGCCTCCCTTTTTTGAGACAAAGTCTTGCTAAGTTGCTCAGGATGGACTCAAACTTGCAGTTCTCCTGCCCCAGCCTCCCACAGTGCTGGGGTTACATGGGTGTGCATCACAGTTAAATTTTAATTGGGAGAGCGTTGGAAGTATAGATCAATGTGTGGGAACTTAACTGTACAGTACTATTAACCATGAATATCAATTTCCTTAATTAATTCTTTATTTTGTTCTATAATTTTTTATTATTTTCTGTCTCATACATCCTTTCTTTTAAGGCTCTTTTTTAGAGCAGTTTTAGGTTCACATAAAACTGAACAAAGATTTCCAGTTTATAACTACCCCCACTATAATAAAACCTCTCACCAAAATAGCATATTTAGTACAAGAATTGAGCTTACAGTGACACAAAATTATTACTCTTAATTAGATTCATAACATATTGGCATTTACCTTTGTTATTGTACTCCTATGGATTTTAATAAATGTATAATGATATATATCCATTGTAACAGTACCAAAAGAATAGT